GTGTTAGTCTGTATCCGACAAAAGAACAGGAGTACTTGTGGCACTTTAGAGACAAACACATTTATTTGAGAATGAGCTTTCGTGGGCTACAGCCCACTTCTTCGGATGCATAGAGTGGAACACACAGAAGATATTTATACATACAGAGAACATGAAAAGCTGGAAGTAGCCATACCAACTGTAAGAGGCCAATCAATTAATTGAGATGAGCTATCATCAGCAGGAGGAAAAAAACACCTTTGAAGTGATCATCGAGATGACCTATAGAAGGTGTGGGGAGAACTTAACATGGGGAAATAGATTCAATTAGTGTAATGACCCAACCATTCCCAGTCTCTGTTTAGACCTAAGTTAATTGTATCTAATTTGCATATTAATTCGAGTTCAGCAGTCTCTCTTTGGAGTCTGTTTTTGAAGTTTTTTTGTTGCAAAACTGACACCTTCAAGTCTGTCACTGAGTGGTTAGAGAGGTTGAAGTGTTCTCCCACTGGTTTTTGAATGTTATGATTCCTGATGTCAGATTTGTGTCCATTTATTCTTTTGCGTAGAGACTGTCCGGTTTGGCCAATGTACATGGCAGAGGGGCATTGCTGGCACATGATGGCATCTATCACATTGGTAGATGTGCAGGTGAACGAGCCCCTGATGGTGTGGCTGATGTGATTAGGTCCTTTGATAGTGTCACTTGAATAGATATGTGGACAGCGTTGGCATCTGGCTTTGTTGCAAGGATAGGTTCCTGGGTCGGTGTTTATGTTGTATGGTGTGCGGTTGCTGGTGAGTATTTGCTTCAGGTTGGGGGGCTGTCTGTAAGCGAGGACTGGTCTGTCTCCCAATTGGAGTTTGCAGGACCTTTTGTTTGTTTAAAGTTTAACTGAATTTATCTAAAAAAAAATATATTTTAGGCAAAGGTTTGGCCCAGACTTTATTTTATTCAAATAGGTTCCCGTGTATCTCCAGCAGACATATGCTCAGGATCACGGGCAGTGCGTGAACAACGCGTTCGGGGAGGCTAGTCCCCTGCCCTGCTCCTACTGCCCGGGGTTTAGCCTCCACTGCCCATGCCCAGGATCCCGGTCTCCCTGTCTGTCCAGTCACACAATGCGTTTGCAGGTCAGCAGATTAAAGGTGCTCCTCTTTAGTAGCTAGGGCAAAGAGGCCACGCTGTGAGGAAGAGGGGCTGATCTCTTTGAATGGTGGTGTGCCTCCGGGCACTAGCAGCCGCTTGGCAATCAGTGTCTTTGTTAGGTTATCTAGCAGAGCAGTCCAGAACTTAGCCTGGAAGGAGATGACATTAACCTCCCAGTCAGATGGGCACAGTGGCAGGGCAAAGCCTGGGAAAGTTTTCCCAAGGGGTAACAGATGGGCTCATAACTTTCAGGGCTTTCTATTCAAATGAGAGAATTTGGAGTGAAAGGGCTGGGAGGATTTTATCGACAGACGCATTGAATGATTCTCCACCAAAAACCCAATGATGGATTTGCCCGAAGCGGGTGGGCAGTGAGAGCAAATTGTTGCCTGGCCTGCTTTATTTGAGCCTAAAGGAAGAAAATGAATGTTCATTCATGCCCTTGTGTCCATCAGACAGTGTGTCAATGCTGGAACAGCATGCTTTGCGCCGGCCGGCTTTCAAGACAAGTGCATCTGTCTATCACACAGGGAGGAAAGTGAGACAGGCTGTCCATAACTGCGGAATAACAACAGGGCTGAGAATGTTTCAGAGCAGCGGCCGTGTTAGTCTGTATCCACAAAAAGAACAGGAGTACTTGTGGCACCTTAGAGACCAACAAATTTATTTGAGCATAAGCTTTCGTGGGCTACAGCCCACTTACAACGATGCAACCACTGTGCAGCACGGCTGGCCAGACAGAGGGCAAACCGCTCAGGTTAGATCCATTACACAGGCCAGCTAATCCCGTAGGGGATCAGTAAAGATCGCAGCGCCTGGGACTATTAAAAGAAATAAGCACAGTTTACATTTATACCGTGACTTTCAATATCCCAGTGCAGGGGCGCTGGGGGTTCTCAGAGCCATTGAACCGAACTGCCTATGATGGAAACGACTTCAAGTCGGGGGTGCGGCAGCCCCCCCCCAGCACCTCTAGTTTCAGCACCTATGTCCCAGCAAGCTTTGCAGAATAATTACAGGAATTGCTTCCTCCTCAGGGGTGGGGGACACAGCCCACAGCACTGCCAGCCATGAGCGCAGGAAAGGGGTCGGGCAGGCAGAGCGTGGTACCCAGTTACCCTTGCAGAGGAATAGCTGGTGCACAGAACGTCATCCCTCCGATTGCTGCTCCGGTTCAGGGGCTTGCTGAAGGGAAAGCAAATTTTCCCTGAAAGTCCCTGATCCGAACCCAGCCTGGCTCGATACCGACTAGTCGCAGGTGATCACTGACAGCAAACGGTGGGAGCTTCCTGTAGCAAACAGGCCTTCCTCTCACTGTGGGAGTCGACATGTAATTTCAGAGAGCAACACGTTCTGATGGTCAACTCCACCCGTTCCAGGAGCCTAGGAAAAGCATGGAGCCACGGGGGTCTCCGCTGCCCCAGCGTGACCCTGTGCGGGTGCGGCTGCCGTGGAGGTGACGAAGGGTCAGCACTACAGCCAAGGACACAAAGCTGGGAAGAGTTAAATCTGTCAGGCTTCCGTGCAGACGCAGCTAGGTTACAGGAGTGTCCCTGGAAATGACGGAGCAAAGTGAATTCACGGGAATCGAGCACAGTGCAGCAAATCCCACCCAAGAGCAGAGATCTCCAGTGGGGAAGTGGAACGCCTCAGCTCTGACGACCTCCCCAGAGTGCAAGGGAGGGGAGGGAAGGATTGGACGTCACACGACAAGTGGGGCATAGGGGGCTGCAGCTGCGTGAGATGCCTGGTGTGTCCTTCCCCATAGCTCTTTCCCAGCACCAGCTCCTAGCTGCTCCGGTGTCCACGTTTGGGTCTGGGTCAGTGGGTGCTTGTGCAACGCACAGAACTCTGGGAGCCCATCAGGGTGTGGGGTATTGGGTGCCTTACCTTCGGGGAGCACCCACAGAGGGGTGAGAGGGAGCCAGGAATCTGCGAGCCTGTCAGGAGAGGGGTGGGAAGGAACGTGGGGAGAGTTCGGGTGCTCATGGGTGCTGTGATGGCAGATGGCGGGTGCCACTTTTAACCTTCAGCCTTTTCTTGTGTGTGAGACTCCTGAGTGCCAATAATAAAGGGTTCAGAATAGGAGCAGATCCTGCCCTGGTTAGCTCCTGTCCCTGCTGAGTGAAATGGAAACGCTGAGTGCTCCAGAGGTCCGTTGACACCCAACCTCTATTTGCTGGGAAGCTGAAGTTTACTGAGGAGCTCTCAGTGGGATGGAGCTCAGCGATGGGCAGTTTAGAATTGCCAGCCATGGCTCATACCTGGGCCGCATGGGGATGAGCGAGAGGCCAGAGGCCTGTGGTAAAGGATCTTTGTGCAAGGATCCTGGGGCTTAACGAATCCTCGTCTAGTGATTCCAGTGCCTGGAATTCCACGAGGGACTAGCCAGTGTCACAACCCGGCCCACCTGCTCGGTGGCTGTTCGTTAGCTGACCCACCGCTAGGCAGCGGGATGTCGTCACAGAGTGCGGACGTGAATAAGGGGAAGGTTTTCAAGACCGCCAAGAGAGGTTGCTATTTGTAGCACAGCAGGCTGTGTTGCCTTGGGAAACAATCACAACCCCAACCCTGCCAGGAATGTCCAAAAGTTACTATCTCCTAGTGGCCAATAGCCGCATGAGGAACCAGGGTAGCCTGCCCCATGGACAGAAGGCACTGTCCAGATCTTGGGGGATGCCTCCCAGGCCAAGCCTACAGGGAGGGGAGAAGTTTTAAAGTCAAATCCTCAGACACGGGCTGCCGAGACAGCTCTGGATAGCTCAGCTGCTGGTGTTAAACCCTGAGGGAAGCCATTCAGATGGAAGCTGTGTGTAGTGGGGAGGTGGCTTTGTGGACCTTCCATTGCGCCTTCTCTGCTCATCCCCAGAGTGGGTTTCGAACCCTCCTTGAGCCAGCTGGAGCGGGGGAGGGATAGCTCATTCAGTGGTTTGAGCATTGGCCTGCTAAACCCAGGGTTGTGAGTTCAATTCTTGAGGAGGACACTTAGGGATCTTGGCCAAAAATCAGTACTTGGTCCTGCTAGTGAAGGCAGGGGGCTGGACTCGATGACCTTTCGGGGTCTCTTCCAGTTCTATGAGATAGGTATATCTCCTTATATTATTTTTATCTTGAAAACACCACTGATGCGCCCATTGGGTTTGTGTTTCCTTAGGAACATTCCGAGGAGTGTGTAAAAAAATCGATCATTTCCCGGAAGATGCGGATTATGAGCAAGACACGTCCGAGTACCTCCTACGTAAGTCTGTGTCTACACTCGGCCCATTGCGATGCTGCTTGTTCCCTCCCGGCGTGCACTCAGACCCTCGAGTGAGAGCAGCAGCTCTATGAATCTGGAGAGAGAGTATATGAAATATTACTATCACTCTCCAAAACGGTGACTCCCTCCCTGAATGCTGGCCGTTCCTTTCATTCCCATAATATACAGACACACGCTGGCATCAGCTCTGCCTCTACCACTCGGTGGCGCTGCCTGGGATGCCCATACCTGGCCAGGAGCTGTGCTTTCTGCTGCTTGAACCAACACCAACAGGTTCTTGCCATCTGATTATAGCTGCAGACCAGCAAAGGTCCTTCTACGGGTCATGCCTCCTGACCAGAGTAAATGGCACCTTCTGTTTGTTGGTGTAATGATGTCACATCCGATGAGCATCTTTAAGCATCTTTCTCCTTTGTCCCCGTTCAAATCTGTCCCGCCCTTTCCCAGGCCCAGTCCTGTAAAATGCCCGGTATCCTTAGCTCCCAGGAAGCCTGCAGCTGCTGCAGCGTCAGGAGTTAGGCCCTGGCAATTTTGCCGCGAGAGGATTTTTTTATTACAGTGATTCCTCTCCTCCTTTGTGTCCTGCGTTTCCGCAGCCGGCTCTGGAAATTGTTGGCATTCAGTGAGGTGAGGATCTAAAGCCTCTGGCATGTCTTCTGCCAACAGCAGTCAATTGCAAGTAGATTGAATGAAAACAGACCTGGCAGACCTCCCAGGAAATGCAGAACACTCCAGCTTTCTGGGGTGCCCTGGCTTTTCACCTGATCAGGAAATCTAGTGTTTATATGAAAGGGACCTAATAGTGGAGGTGGGTCAGATTCTGAGAGAAGGAGCCGTATCCCTTTTACACCTCCACAAATGTGTGTGCAAATAAACATGGAAACACGAACGTGCAAATGGACACCTATGCATTCAACACAGATGCACACAAACTCACAGGTAGATATGCACCCACATGTGCAAAAAAACATTGTAGCTATGCGCACACACTACAAACGCACATGTTCACTCACACATGCACGCCAAACACCCACACACAAGCATGCACAATAGCATAGATATGCACACCACACATCTGCAAACATTTTCATTTTAGCAGATTAGCTTTTAACTTCCCCCCCTGCATTTTTTTTCTTTTTAAAGAAGCCTTTTTAAAAAAAACCCAGAATTGCATTTTAATGGGGCTGCTCTATAATCCCTGGATTTATTTTAATGGGCCTAATGGGGAGAGGAGAACCCCAAACCCGAGCACAGCCCATTAAATGCCTTTGCTTTAGCAGCAGATAGTAGTTTATTGAATTAATTAATGTTGGCCATTTTGAAGGCCTAAACCTTTACAAGTCCAATTAAAAAAGGCAAAAGGGCCTGTTCTCTGTAACTGCCTGGGCTTAATGCCTCCAAAGTTGGTACTGAAATGGCTTGGCTGAAGAGGAAAGGTTTTTTACGTAAAGCCCCAGCTCCTGGAGTCATGTTGTTGTCGGAGAGTCTCAGGTTTCTTTTTTTTTTTTTTAAGTAAATTTCTAGTCCCCATGTGGAGAAAAGGTGGAAAGCATGCCTGGAATACCCAGAGGGCAAATAAAAAGAACTCCAGATGTGTTCTTTGGTAAAAGCTCTTGATTTCATTGGGGGGGGGGGAATCTGATCCATGATTTTTGAATGTTTGGGGTTGGCAGTACGGCTAGTCTCAGTGCTATCCCCAGTCTCATGAAAAGTGGTGTTTTTCCTAAAGCCCCAGCACCTGGAGTCATGTGACTATACCCGAATGTAAGCTTTCAGTTTAAAATAAAAGGTACATTTCTAGCCCTGCTGGCTGTGTGGGAAAAGCTGGAAACCCTGACCCCGAAAGGCTCAAAGCCCAGGAGGCAAATAAAAAGAACCAGACTTGTTTTTAAGACAAATTCATGATTTGAGGGGCCCGACTCATCATTCTGAATGGTGGTCAGGGTTGGCACTGCTGGCTCATGGATCCCGAAGCAGGTCCTGAAGTTGCCTGTCTGCAGCGCTATTTTCCGGGCAGAATTAAAGTCGGGGGTGGGGGAAGCACAGACAGAAGGTCTGTGCACTAACTGGGGAAGGAATGGACTGGGTTTGTCCCAGAGGGCAGTAGCCGGTCCTTTCGGTGTTGATGACCTTAGGCCCCAATCTGGGCAGACCCACTGGCAGCATTGGGACTTTCATTATTATTATTAGAAACCTCATTAGAGACCCTGAGTTATGCTCGTAACCCTTTGTGCTGCTCAAGCCGGGCAAAGGGCCAGATTCTGCACAGAAGCAGCCAGCAGGGAATTATCCTTGCAAAGGGGAACTCTCCTTTGGCATAAACTTGGTGGAGTCAGCACCTGCACCAACTGACCCCACCCGACCGTGGCAAAAGGAGTGTGTCCAGAGAAGGGTGTACTGGAGGAAAGTGACCCTCCACTGCTCTGAGCTCCCTTAGTGGCATAAGTTAGAGCAACCTCTAGGCTGCTCTAACTCGCACAATGCTGGCACAGCATCAAGGAGTCATAACCAGCTCAATGCACCTTCAATCCTCCCAGCACCCAAGCGTTTTACTGTACTGAGACCTTCTAGCTCCTGAGCATATATGACTGAAATCAGTGGGAGTCAATGGAAGAAAAAATCAAAGGCACAAATACAAAATGCGGGCAAACTGGCTAGGTGGCAGGGCTGCAGAAAAGGCTCTGGCAGTTAGAGTGGATCACAAATTGAAGATGAGTCAACAATGTGATGTAGTTGTGAGAAAGGCTAATAACACTCTGGGGTGTATTAACAGGAAGGTCATATATAAGACACAGGAGGTAATTATCCCGCTCTACTCAGCACTGGTGAGCCCTCGGCTTGAATACTGTGTCCAATTTCAGGCACCCCATTTTAGGAAAGATGTGGACAAACTGAAGAGAGTCCAGAGGAGAGCAACAAAAATGATAAAAGGTTTGGAAAACCTGACTTATGAAGAAAGGTTAAAAAGAATGGGCACGTTTAGTCTTGAGAAAAGAGGTTTGAGCAGGGACCTGATAACAGTCTTCAAATAGGTTAAGGGCTGTAAAAAGAGAAGGGGGATCAATTGTTCTCCACCTCCACTGAAGGTAGAACAAGAAGTAATGGGCTTAGTCTGCAGCAAGGGAGATTGAGGTTAGATGTTAGGAAAATCTTTCTCACAACAAGGTTAGTTAAATACTGGAACAGGCTTCCAAGGGAGGTGGAACCCCATCACTAGAGCTTTTTAAGAGCAGGTTGGACAAACACCTCTCAAGGATGGTCTAGGTTTACTTGGTCCTGCCTCGGCATGTGGGGAGGAGCTAGATGACCTCTTGAGGTCCCTTCCAGCCCGGTACTTCTCCAGTGTTATGATTCTTGCCCTTGATTTTAATGGGAGCAGAATCAGACCCTGCTGGTTTGAACCAGAGAGCCAGCCTCCCCATCACTTAGCCGTTCCGTCACTAGTGTCTGATTTGCCAAGGAGCTGCACACACGTTTTCACAGGGCCCGTGAGACCGTGTGAATGATGATTGATGGGGCCCTTCTCCTCTCCCCCGGCTAGGTGCTGTGAGAGCATCCAGCATCTTCCCCATCCTGAGCGTGGCCTTGTTGTTCTTTGGGGGCCTGTGTGTGGCCGCCAGCGAATTCTACAAGAGCAAACACAACGTGATTCTCAGCGCTGGGATCTTCTTTGTCTCTGCAGGTAAGTTCCCGCCCGAGTCACTGCTCAGGATTTGCATGGCTCCAGCCTCCCAGGATTAGGGCTCCGTCCTCCTGTGTGCTGCACGGGCATCTGGTGAGAGCAGTCCCTACCCAAGCACCTTAAACCCTAAGACAAGGCACAAGAACTGGGTGTGGCACACAAACCGAGGGAGCGAGGCGGATGAGGGGGGCAGGAATAGGAGTGGGTGGTTGTGTATCTGGTGACAAATTGCAGGGTAGAGGGGAGGCTATTTAAAGGCATAAATAAACCAGACACATTAGTTCTGTCATATTCCCTGCTGGCCATGGGCCTGGTCGTTGTTGGAGGGCAATTACAGAGGCCTTGCGACAGAAGTGGGCCTTAGGGAAGGGTCTGAAGGAGGAGGAGATTGCTGCTTTACATGTCTGTTTGGGCAGGGGGTCCATGTGTAAGGGGTGGCCATGGAGACCGAACTCCCCTCTTGCCCCGAAGGCAGGTCTGGGTGTTCCTGTCCGGCTCTGCCTCTCTCTTACATCCACGGAGCTCCTGGGAATTAAGGGCTGGGTATGCTCAGACCTCAGCAAGGTCATTGACCCTCCATCCCCACGGCAGGTGCAGACTAAGTGTCACACCAGTGTCACACCCGTCCCCAAGCAGCCTCATACCAGGGTGCCTCTGCCCTGACAAGAAGCAGTCCCTCCTGGCGAGGCGGCCAGCAAGGGGGCTAGTTAATGGGTTTTTCAGTGAGGTCGCCATCAGATGTCATGCAGCAACCTTGGCTCACTATTGGCCTTGTCTGGATTTGAACCATTGACGTAGAGGTGAGAGACTCTGTCTCTCAATTCCCATCATGTCCCTTATGGAAAAGCCCTAAAGCAGCTGGCGGAGATTAAACCAATAGGGTCCTTCAGCAACCAAATCGGGTTCTGTAGAAATTCCCCCATACGTTTATCACACTGAGCTGTGAATGATCATCTCTCGGGGGCTGGTTTTTTAACCTGTCCCTAGAGCTCTAGGACAGGCTTCAAAAACATACCGGAAGGATCTCCGTCTCCCTGCAGGTCTCTAGGACTCGTCCCAGGAGGGTTCCCCCAGCTTCCAGGCTGGTTGGTACAACACAGGCCAAATTTCCCACAGCAATTAGCCCCCCTCCCCCTGCAGGGTACATCTACACTGCAAAGAGGAACCCACGGCACCAAGTCCCAGAGTCCAAGTCAATGGATTCAGGCTCATGCTGTGGGGCTGTATGGCATCTGCGCTCCGAGAGACCTTCTCCCCTGGGCTCTGGCAGGCCCGAGGGGAAACGTGCACGCTGCTATTGTTAATCCTGCAGCCCAAGTCAACTGAGCCAAGCTCTGAGACGCCACAACCCAGGGCTCTCTTTGCCAAGTGGACATCCCCTCAGGTCAGATTTCCAAAGAGCTCCGCTCCCAGGTATGCACCAAAGCAGCCAGATTTTCAGAAGGGATCAGCACGCTGTGGGCTGGGCTTTGGGTCACCGCGGGTGCTGCTGGGTGCTGAGCTCCCGCTGGGAATGCCAAGGGCTGGGAAATGTGGGCATTAGGCAGGTGGACAGTTGCAATCTTCAGAGGTAAACGAGGCTCTCTTGCACAGCGTGTCCCGCCGGGATTGCTCATTGCTGGGTGTGATGTTTCCCGACACTTTAGCTGATTATTTTATGACAATGTCTTAGTCTCAAGGAAGTTTTGTTTTGTTTCTTCCCCCAAAGAGACCAGTCAGTTTCCTTCCTTTGGCTGACAGGAGCATGTGATGTAGATGAGAAACCAACCGACAGAACCAAATCGATTCATTAAGTAAATCCGAATGCAAGTGGCTGAGCCTCACTCCAATCCCTGGAAGTACCACACCTGCTCTGCTGTGGAGGCAAAAATTGCTCAGCTCCCCTGTGGAACCTCCAGACTTACTAGAAATTAAAAGGACAGGAGTAATTATTGTCTCCTCCTCCCCCCCACACACGAGCTTAGAGACCCAAAAGGCTGGAGGTTTGGTTCCGAAAAGTCCCTCAGTCCATGTGCTTCTTATGCTGTTATCTGAACTCGCTGAGGGCCAGAGGGGCCGATGTGGCATGTGCACGTGGAGTCGCACCTCTCCGTGGTGACCTGCAGGAGGCACAATGCTGCCACGAGCCCCCAGCATGCAGGGCTAGCTGTCCCTGCTCGGGCAGCTCACTGGGGGAAAGGCTCCTTGTGCACCCCCTGACCCCGCTCTCTTGTGCAGGGCCTAGACTGTGGAGACGTCTACGCTGCAGCCGGGAGTGTGCTTCCCAGCTCAGGTAGGCAGACACGTTCGAGCTCGGCTTGAGCTAGCACATTGAACGTAGCCGCGTAGCCCAGGGCAGCACATGTGGCACTTGGGCTAGCCCCCCAAGTATGTGCTACGGGGTTCAAGGCCGGTCCGTTCTCAGGAAGCCAGCCCAAGCCCCCCACGTGTGCCACCCCCGGCTCTGCTGCTTGTTTCAGCGTGCGAGCTGGAGAAGAACTAGAGCGTCTGTCCACCCAAACTGGGGGACACTCTCCCAGGTGCAGTGTACGTGTGCCCTGTGGCTGGCCCCTATTATGGAAAACAGGCTGGATGTCCCACTAGAAGCTTCCCAGGGTGCCCTGCTTCCCCTCAGGGAGGCAGCCCCCAGGGAGCAGACACTGAGTCTTAGGGTCTTAGCCAGAATCAAGAAATCCTGAGACGCAGGAAAATAAACACACACACCTGCCACCAGTCCCAGTCTTCTGGATTTGGGACAGGCCTGAGCCTGAATGCCAGAGACCAGAAATAAAACATGAGGAGAGCAGGGGAAGTCTCACAATCCCCTCCCTGCTCGGTGTTTGTGGTGTTTGTCCACATTGTGAAACGCTCCAGCCCCAGAGGAAGCCACCTTCCCTAGAAGACAGAACGAACGGGGCTTTCACCCAGGGCTGTCTGATGTCTGACTAGTGGTGGGCCCAGGGTGACAATTCCATTTTGTGACAACATTTGCAGTTTCCAGACTTATTTTTGTTCCACCTCAGACGCTTTCACATAATGGAATTGTCGAGATCTCCATTTCCGGAGAGTAACGGTCTGGCTGTGGTGTCGTCTCTCTCTCATCTTGTCAAGTGACCAGGGAGCTTGCACCTCAGAAACCTACCGAGGAAAACTTGTTAAAACTGCTATGTCTCCACAAAACGTTTTGGCTTTAACGGAAATACACTTAGTCGAAAACGTTCAGAGTCTCTGACCTGCTCTGAATGGGTTAGAGATGTTCTATTAGCCACGCGACTTATGCTACTTGTAAGGAGCCACTCTCCTTCTCTCTCTCTCTCTCTCTCTCTCTCTCTCTCTCTCTCTCAGGTCTCAGTAACATAATCGGGATTATAGTCTATATCTCGGCGAACGCTGGGGACCCGGGGCAGAGCGACTCCAAGAAGAGCTACTCGTACGGCTGGTCCTTTTACTTTGGCGCCTTGTCGTTCATCATCGCCGAGATGGTGGGGGTGATCGCTGTGCACATGTACATCGAGAAGCACCGCCAGATCCGCGCCAAGTCCCACTCTGAGCTCCTGAAGAAGTCGGCCTTTTCTCGCCTCCCCACCTACCGGTACCGGTTCCGCAGGCGATCCAGCTCCCGCTCCACGGAGCCCAGGTCCAGGGATCTGTCTCCTGTCAGCAAAGGGTTCAGCACCATCCCCTCCACCGACATCTCCATGTTCACCCTCTCCAGGGATCCTTCCAAGGTGACCATGGGGACGCTGCTCAACTCGGAGCGGGATCACACTTTTTTACAGATCCATAATTCCATCCCCAAAGAGTTCAAGGAGTCATTGCACAACAACCCAGCCAACAGACGAACCACACCGGTCTGAGCCAACTCCTCCCCACGCCACTCAGGCGCTGTGCCAGCCAGGGAAGTAGGGAGAGGCGTTTTGTCTGGCTGCATGACATGATCCTTGTGATGGTGTTATCAGTGAAGCTCCGTTTTTAAAGAACAACCCTAAATGGCTCCCCGCCCCGCCCCACCCCACCCTTTAAATGCCACTTACCAGGCCAGGCCACTGTGTTTATGGTTGAACGGTGTTTGGGCCCCAGAATCCCGCCCCTTTTCCTTCTGTGGTTGGAAAGGGGCATCGGCTTTGCTGTGACTTCCTGGGACCAAGGCCCCTGAGGACTGGCAGGATGGTTTCGAGTGGCCTCTGGGACAGTGACTTCTCAAAGTCACCATTGTTCATGTTGATCATAACAATCACGGTGTTACCTTCGCTGTATGTCCCAATGGCAACATTGGAGACAGCCTTGTTTGTGAGAACCATTAACCCGATAGTTACATTTATGCGAAATTGCCTAGAAGTTCAGGGTACGAAGCACTGAGTCGGCTAACGTAATGAGCGTTCATGTGGCTCAAACATTTTGCCTTGTTGTAATGGATGGAGCGCTTGGGTCTGGGTTTCTTTCTGGCATTTCGTGCATGCATTAAATAGCTTGGAATCCAATTTCTTCATGTTGGGTTGGAAGAAACATCCTTTCAGTAATTTTCTGTGGTTTTGGAAGGGCTTTTGGGGGTGTGTGTAAGGGGGCAGAGTGCATTCCATTCAGATCATGTAAATGGACTAAGAAGCAGATTCCCTCCAATGACTAGTAGCAACTAGACTGCATTTGATTACCCGCTGATGTTAAACTGAAAGAAATAGCTCCCTGAAATTAACACACACACACGCACAAGTGAATGTGTGGGCACAATTAAGGAGGGGATGTTTGGCCTAGTCTTATTTTAGAAGCTGGGTTTGCATCTGAGCCTCTGGCAGTGATCTGCGTGTCACTGGTGTATGAGTCTGTAATGAAGAATGTCTCAATTGACTGGGAGATTAAAGAGAAAAGTAACAATAAAAGTTTGGCGAATCAGTTACTTGGCTAAATGAGCAACTCACTCTCAGGCTGCTACGAACAGCTGGGAAATCGTGAAATGTGTCAAACAAAGCACTTTACAATACAGCCTCGAGCTTTCCTATCAGCACTCCGAAAGGCGCAGCCAAGAGAACGCAAAGGAACATGCGTGTTCTGTAATGCAGGAACACTGCTCAGCAGCAGGTAAATCGCTTCACCATCCCAGGAGGTGCACCCTCCGCTCTTCCAAGCTAAGCGTGGTGCCGAGAGCCTGCTCAGTGCTTGGATGTGAGCCCACTGCAGCAAGTGGTGGTGGCGAGCTAGGACTTATCAGCAGGTGGCTTCCTGTCTGGGCCCCGCTGTGCTGCTGCAGGTGCGGTACTTCACACTAGGGTTAAATCGGAGGTGGTGACCATTTCTCATCAGTAAAGAGCCCAAGGCAATTTTTGACAAGAGAGGGGATTTTAATCATGGCAACCTGGCCAAATTCCATCACATGCCGCCTCCTGGCTTTCCCCTGCAGTTACGTACAATTAAACTATCACATCCTGCTCTGCACTGTTCCACAGCTGCCTTGTGCTGCATTTCAGGGATGGGTGTAACAAGCTCTGTACAGACCCAGTCTATGTGTGTCCTATGGGACAGCAGCCACTCGAGGGAAGTAAGATTTAGTCTGAAGGAGTGAAGAACTGCGCATTGAAGTATTTCATTAGCAAAGCCCTGTCAGGCAAAGCTTCTGAACATTTGCTCCTGGCTCCTCTCAGTGGCTGAAGAAGTGCTGTACACGAAATAGATACACCGCCCTGGCGTGGCTGCTTCTGTGTAGCTGTGCTTGTCTGACACCGATCGTGCCTGCACTCTCTGCGCTGCTGGAAGTGTAGACAGAGCCTGAGGATCTCAAAGGGCGCCCCAAGCTTTAACTGTAAAAGCCCCCCAGCCCCTTGTGAGACAGGAACCTTCCACTGAGGCATGGGGAGGGTAAGTGACTTGCCCAAGGTCACTCAGCAAGTCAGTGGCACAGCTGGGCAGGGAACCCAAGAGGTGTAGTTGCCAATCCCCTGTGGTGACCACTGGACTCACTGCTGTGGAGACTCAGGAAAGAAACTGCCAAAAAGCAACAGTGTAGGGACCTATTTAGACCAGGAGTCTCCCCAGCGCAGCATTCCTGCCTCTTGTGCTGAATGCCTGTCATCTGCTCCTCCTGCTCCAACTTTGGGGCATTTAGTCAGGGTATAGGTAATGAACATCTTCCCCCCACCCATCACTGCCCCAGCAAGCAACCCCCCATCTGTCCACCACAGAAATATATGTAGGGTGAACGACTCAATCACTGCACACAAGTCTGCTCCTTTAACCCAAAGTGGCCAAATGCAGAGTCTGAAGTCCCAGGACACACCCGGCCGCTGCTCTCGCTGTTCTGGCCTGTCTGGATTCCTCCTTCTCCAGGTCATGGTCCCCTGGCAGCAGAGGCCATGGTGCCCATGCTTGCTCGTTCCATCTGATGGCAGAAGGAATGCCTCGATTTTCACTGCTGGTGAACTCAGCCACTGAGCGATGTCCATTTACCTGCCAAGGACGCTGCATGGTAGAGGACCGATTGCAGCAGTGCGGGTTTCCTTTTGCTTTACAGCATGGACATAAAAATATGCTGCAAAAAAAGCATGGCTCCTTGCCGCTGATGGTTGGGCCCTAGGTGTCAGCGTGCAGATGCTTTACCCAACCTGAACCACTGCAAAGCAGACTTAGAACAGGGCATTGCCTGCTCTAAGGTCAGGCCAAAATGCCATTTTTTCTTAAAGGTGCCAAGTCAGGACGGCCCTGGGACATCCGGTTTGTCTGGGAGCAGGGTAGGGGACTGAATACCCCCAGGCACTCCTGGCTTGGTTCCTTTGCAGAGGAAATGCCATGTTTGTATGCAATAGCAAAATCAGCAGGGACCAATTTTCCTGGCTTCACTTTGTCTGCTGCATTTGACACATCGCTGGGCTTAGAAGTCAGCATTAGAGAGGGCCTCCTCTGAGCTGCCTTTGAAGGGAAGTGCTGGCTGCCTGCACAATGTGACAGCTACAGGAAGGCGAGGACTGACAAAAAAAAAAGTTTAGTCTTTAAATGTCAGGGCATGTGTATGCAGCCAGAGAATGGGTTTGAAATGAGCAGCCACCTTGTCTCGCTGGAGCAGAAATCTTCTGATGGAAGCAGTTTCCAAGCAGCTGGCCTCACAATTTGTCATGGCACTTAATTGAAATCTCATTTAACCTTCTGACAAGCACGACAGGCCTGCTGGAGAGACTTTGTCTGAGGGGGGGCGGGGGGGGTGTTAACAGGGCTTGATTAGGCAGCCCAGAGATTGTGGATCACAGACGGAATGTGTGTCAATAGCATTCTGGGCTATATTAACAGGAGGGGCACGTGTACGACACGGGAGGGAATTGTCCCGCACTGCTCAGCACTGGAGTACTGTGTCCAAATCTGGGCGCCACATTTTAGGTGAGATGTGGACAAATTGGAAAGCGTCCAGAGGAGAACAACAATAATGAGAAAACCTGAGCTGTGAGGAAAGTTTTAAAAAAAATGGCCATGTTTAGTCTTGAGCAAAGAAGACTGAGTTGGGGACCTGATAGCAGTTGTCAAATATCTTACGGGCTGTTCTAGAGAGGACAGCGATCAATTGTTCTCCATGTCCACTGAGACTAGGACAACAAGTAATGGGCCTAATCTTCAGCAAGGGGGAGTTAGGTTAGCGATTAGGAAAAACTTCTTCTAATTACAAGGATAGGTAAGCTTTGGAATAGGCTTCCAAGGGAGGTTGTAAAATCCCCGTCATTGGAGGATTTTTAAGAGCAGGCTGGACAAACACCTGTCAGGGATGGTCTAGGTTGACTTGGTCCTGCCTCAGCACCAGGGGCTGGACCCAGTGATGTCTTGAGTTCCCTTCCAGCCCTACAGTTCTATTATTCTATTAATCACAGATAACGTGGAGGAAGAGGAACTGTTCCATTTACTTTCCTGCTTTGTTAACAGTAGAACGTTGGTTTTCAACCTTTTTTCATTTGCAGACCCCTAGAAAATTCCGAATCAAGATGCAGACTCCCTTGGAAATCTTAGACACAGTCTGAGGACCCCGCCTAGGGGCTGCGGACCACAGGAAAATGGATCTGATGTGATGTCTGGCTTGCGTGTCCTTTGTAATCTCGGTCAGTACCTCACAGCCGAATTAAGAATGTGCATTTACAGGACACTTTCTCCCTTGCATACTCCCAGTCTGGCTAGAAACAAAAGGCCAGATCCCTAGCATTGTCCTCCCTCTGCTGAAGTCAACGTACACCAGCAACTGATGTTATTGCCTAAAGGCTAAACTCTTTTCCTAGACTATTTCTCATTGGTGTACAGGTCACCAGAAGACATTGTGCTAATTTCCAGCCTTAGGAGCGGGTCCCTAAGCCGCTTGCTCACAAGACAGAAGCATGGGGGGTGCTAGAAAGGTTGGGACTTGACCCAGAAGCAGGCATGTCTCTTTCCAAACTCCTCACCTTTTGGGTTGTTCTGAGGGGATGGACTCAATTAATCATGTGACGACAGCTCTGGTTATTCGGCTTGTCCGATCAGATTTCTCCGTTAGCACCCCGAGTGTTGCAGAATGTTTGTGTGGTTTTGTTCAGCAGCTCACAGAAACGAAAGATGGAAAATCTGATGAGGCCAGTTGGTTCCGCTCCCTGTTCCCTACTTTGCATTTTGTAATGTTCTGTCCAGGGTTAGCTCTCAACGTCTCCAGCAAATGAGCCTCTGCCCTTCCCCTGGGAGACTGTCCTACTCCTCGCAGGATTTGTTCACAGCAAATTTCCCCTGACATTCAACCTAATTTTTCCTTTCTTTAATTTCCTCTGGTGACCCCTGTGCTCCACACTACAGAATGACTCCGCTTGCTGCTCACACCCTTCAGACATGTGCCGGAATTGTCTCCTGTGCCTCGTTAGGCATCAGTTAGCCAAGGGGACACATTCAGCTTTGAGTTTTTCCCCAACCTCTCCAGCCCTGCATGATTTTTGTTGTTCTTCTCTCACTCTCTCTATGCTTTCTCAGGATCTTCTTAAGAGCAGACTTTTCCTGGTTAATTCACAGATCTGGGGTGAACTCCTAGCAAAGGAAACTTGTGCACATACGAGCTGAATAAAGAGTCAACAAACTGCCTTCCTGGTGAGAAATCTACATGACTTGCTACTCGTGCACCTGCGTCCCACTTGACTGATTTGAAAAATCAAACCCATTCTTGACATCTACAGAGCGCAATTGTCCTTTGGTGTATCGCCCAGCCGGCTGGGAGAACAGGACAATGTTTTTTATGTGCAACCAGCTACATAAGAATCTGATTCTAAGGATGTATTTTACTTAGGCTGTTGAGTGTTGCTATGTTCAGAGAGCACTGGTTAGCATCTCATTGTTAGCGCTGCATACAGAAGAGTCCCTCGAAGAGCTATTCAAACAATCTAAAGAGAGAGAAGTTTTTACAATAAAAGATCATGATTACAAGTGGCTTTAGACTATGTAAAGATTTTTTTGTCTTCATTAAGGTTTATTTGCTACCAGTGCAATGATTTTTTTGTGTAAGAAGAACTATTCAGATGCTAATTAGGCCTCTTAATTGCAGTAGTCGCTGATTGCATGTATTAAAAACAGTTGAGGAAGTGTAGCAATTAGATCTTGGGGAAATATTTAAAAACAAAGGAATGAAAAGACTTACAGTGAAAAAAGACACAGAAGAAGGAAGCATCTTAATTTACCTGCCGTGTAATAGTCTGAGGACAGAGGCTTTGCGCAATTTCTTTCATTGGGCGGTTGGTTATGTGACACCTAAGGAAATCTTACATTATTTATTTATTTCAGTTGACACAGGCGCCGATCTTAGCTCTACACGCCCTTGACAAATATTTAAAATTCAATCCTTATCAATAATAAATCCACAATTTTGCACAAGGACAGTCATCATGCTTAAATATAAACTGCTTAAGAAAAACATTTTCTTCA